GGCTAGATTGCACCATTTTCGACCTTATCTGGCTCTTATAAAAGCAGAAGATAGCATGAGGGGTCAGGTACTTACTGGAGCGGTACAGGGAGCCGATCATTTTACACGCATCTTTAGCGATGGGACGAGTGTGAGCCTGAAGTCCAATATCCTCTCAAGATACGGTGTTTCCTCGAGTGGACGTCCGTTCTTCGTGATTGGCGATATTTCGGGGTCTGGTCGGCGGTGATGGAATGTAACCAGTTTGGTTCTAGAGGCATTGAATGTAACTAGCCAGTTTTTCCCCCACTGGGAAATTAGTGTTAAATTGGAAGAGAGGTTAGCTGCCGATCTATGATCGTCAATACTTTAAATGTGCGCTCGGATATCGTCCTATCATCGGCATAAATGTTTACAAATGATCGGAGTATATTCTTAGGTAGATCATTTATATAAACCAAAAAGAGGATTAGTCCGAGAAGTGACTCCTGGGGAACGTCTGCGTTGACCGCCACGGGATCGGAGGACTGGCCGTTAATAACTACCTCAGGAAGTGATTCCATAGGTGGAGAGCTTTCGTAGTAAACCCTTGTGTTACACCTGGTCGAAGTCCTTCAAGATATCTAATGCTATGGTTTTTGCAGTATACGTGTCGTCAATGGCGTCACTAATTCTGTGTGTAATGGTAGTTAGGATGTCAGCAGTGGACAAGAGATTGTTCTTATGCAGATGCTCGACGACCTTGTTGATTAAGGCCTGAAAAAGCTTATAGATGATACTGAGGAGACTAATGGGTCTATACTGGGAGTGGGGATCGACTTCCCGCGTTCTTGTAGACCGGAAATACACTTGCCAACTTCCACATGCCTGGGAAAGATTTCTCCTTGAAGTAGCGTTTAAATAACTTTTCTAGAATCGTGGATAATTCTTGGCTTAAGAGCACTGCAATTCTGTCAGGGCCAGTGGCTTTTTGGGGGTTGATTCTTTTGATAAATCTAGAGACTTGCTGAATTACTGAGATTGTGCTCAGTGAGACATGGGATGTTGGGAAGGGGATGACCTTTGTCATCTAAAGTTGAGTTCGAGACAAAGATCGAGGTGAAGAGCTTCGCCTTGTCTGTCGAGGATGTTATGACCTCAGGATCATTTGTAATTGCAAGTACAGTCGCATTGCCTCTGTTCATAATTTAGTTGACGATCTTCCAGAATTCGCGAGATCCAATTTGTTCATTTTCAACTTTGGCCTGGACAGATCGCGCGGAGCTGCACCTGGCGTATTCCAGGATTTTCTTACAGCGATTTTAAGTGGTTCTGAAATAAGTAACGGCCAAACTACGCCGCTTCTTTGTGCCACACCTTGTCGAAGGCCATCGAGATATTTAATGCTATGTTCCTTGCGGTATGTGTGTCGTCAAGGATTTCACTAATTCTGTGAGTTATGTTAGGACATCAGCAATGGATCGAGATGCCTGAAACCCATACTGCTCATCACACAAAATGTTGTTCCTATGCACATACTTGACGACATTCTTGTTGATTACGGCCTCAAAAAGATTACTGACGATACTGGGGAGATTAATGGTCTATGCTGGGAAGGGGAAGATCGGTTACCGCAATCTTGAAAACCGGGCATTGTACTCAGTGAAACGTGGGAAGGTGTGGAGACGATCTTTGTCAACTAACGTTGAGTTAGAGGCAAATATCGAAGCGAAGAGCGACGCCTTGGGTATCGCGAATGATAGTGACCTCGGGGTCATTTATAATTGTAGACACAACCGCTTTAATTTGGTTGGCGATCTTCCAGAATTCGCGAGATTCAATTTGTTCATTTTCAACCTTGACCTTTGCATTTTCCAGGAATCTCTTACGGCGATTGTTGGTGGTTCTGAAAGAAGGGCCCGATTGCATCGCTCTTTGCGATAGATTTTGAAGTAGTGGTCCCGGTGAGCTATGCCTGAAGCGTATTCAGCAGTGAACCAGGGCTGACTGTTTTTTCTCTATATTTCTGAGATGAGGTATTATGTGCACTATTACTATTTTGTAAAAAAAAAAAAATAGTAGCAGCTACACATTTTTGGAAAATAATATTACCAGCCTATACATTTTTGGGAAATGATATTACCAGCTATACATTTTTGAGGAAAATAATATTACCAGCTATACATTTTTTGAAAATAATATTACCAGCTATACATTTTTGAGGAAAAAAAATACTACCAGCAATACATTTTGGGAAATAATATTACCAGCTATACATTTTTGGAAAATAATATTACTAGCTATACATTTTTGAGGAAAATAATATTACCAGCTATACATTTTTTGAAAATAATATTACCAGCTATACATTTTTGGGAAATGATATTACCAGCTATACATTTTTGGGAAATAAAATTACCAGCTATACATTTTTGGGAAATGATATTAGCAGCTATACATTTTTGGGAAATGATATTACCAGCTATACATTTTTGGAAAATAATATTACCAGCTATACATTTTTGGGAAATGATATTACCAGCTATACATTTTTGGAAAATAATATTACCAGCTATACATTTTTGGGAAATAATATTACCAGCTATACATTTTTGGAAAATAATATTACCAGCTATACATTTTTGAGGAAAAAAAAATATTACCAGCTATACATTTTTGTAAAAAAAATAGTACCAGCTATACATTTTTGAGGAAAAAAAATATTACCAGTAATACATTTTGGAAAATAATATTACCAGCAATACATTTTGGAAAAAAATTATTATGCACCTATTTTTGTTGTATGTTTAGTGCGCGTTGAGGTGTCATTAATATCGATGTATGTTGTGGTGTGATGATATCTTGGAGTGAGAAATTGAAGAACTGAGTTCGAATTCCAGTCGGGTTTGTTACATTCACTTACGCGCAGATATGCTTCGGAAAGATATGGATCCATCTCTCATCCTCTCAGCTATGGATAAACAGCGGGACAGATTTGTTCCCATAGCCTTGGTTGGCAACCAGTCTACCGCAGAAAGAAACGGCAACATGCTGCGGGGAAATCTTCTGTATAGTCTGTGATGAATCGAAAGAGACATGATAGCACTTCACTGACTGTATGTTTAACAAATATTAAACCAACTGCGTTATTCAGTGTTTAACTTAAACCTGATAAATGTAAAAATAAGACACAAAACGATTATATCTCACGTAAAGAAAATGTAAAAATTATTTTAAAAACTACAATGCCTAAAAAAGATTAAAAAGTTTTCAAAATCAATTACAGACCGACTTACGACCGATAAGTCGTAACCAATCATGGTCGTAAGTCGACGACGACCAGTATAATTTTATTTAAAACCAACCTAGAAGCCGCCCTCCGCAAGGCTTATGGAGCTTCGTCCTTTTACCTTCAGTGTTCTATGTACGTCTTTATTCGAAACCTTAATTCGGCATAATCTTTCTTCGTATACGTAACCCATCTCCGTAGTTTGTTTACACTTATTTTGCGCACAATTTCTATTTTCTTTTAAAATCACCATTCTTTATGGTCGCTTCACATAAAGTCACTCTGAAAAGACATTAAGGAACCCAAACTATGTAATATTTCGAATTTGTCACAGTACGCGTGCTAGAAAAAGAAAGAAACATATTAGCAACGTACCGAACTTGGCTTAAGTATTTAATTACGGTTTAATTAGACAATATCAATTGCAATTGCCACGAAAAGGGAAATTACAGTTAAACCTTTAATAAAGAATTGTTTTTTTAAAACTTTCACTCTGTTTGATATTTAAATTTAACTTTAAATGTATTGAAATTATTACGGTGTCGCTAACTGGGTGCCCTGTGATTGGATGAAAAACAACCAATCACAGGCTACCTTTTTAGATTTTTACCAAACCCCCATGTGAGCGGTTTTTACAAACTCTCTTCCTCTTTTGCTTGTTGGGAACCTCAGAGACAATACGTTCCCCATCTGCACTCCGTCATCTAAACACCAGGACACGTGTGTGGATTTAGACAGCAACTGAAGCACAGAAGTCAAGACTCTATTTTCTTCAACCCAGCTAAAACGACACAGGAAATATAAAACTTGTTATAATGACGCATCTTTCAGATAACTTCCGCAAACCCGACTGTTTGCAATTGAAACTTTACTTCTCTTTTTCTACAAATACAAGTTTTTTCATACATTTTTCAACTGTGTTTGTGTTCCTTTCTTCTTGCCGGCGTCACAATATTTTTGTCAACAAATATAATTGGAAAAATCCCAATAAATGAGTTATTTAATTTTTTTGTCGTGTGTAACTGCAGTAGTTACTACCTGTTACTTCAGCATGCTTATGATTCGCCGAGATCGAAAAACGGACGGACGGACACACTGCACTTTATTATCATAGGAGATTAATTAATTTGAAGAAAAAGCCTTTGGGCGGATTTTAAAAAATTAATGCTGTAAATAATTGATGAATATTAATACTTCTATTGTTCTCGTGATTAGCGTTTGAATAAATGCGAATAGGCCAGTGAGCGAGAGTTCGTATTACGCATGCGCCGCTGTGTTTATTTCACGCGCATTTATATATCCCGAGATCGAAAAACGGACGGACAGACGGAAAGACGGAGACACGTACACTGCACTTTAATTATACAGATATTTTTAATTTCCAACATTCACATCACTAAACCTGAATCTTCCTCCATCTAGAAATGGACTGAGTTGTGTAATTTTTTATAAATACCATTCTGCTTGTTACCTCTGGCAGTACCTCAATAATGGAGCATTCCATTTTGATCATGAGGAAAGACGAAAAAGACATAACAGAAATGCTATTTGGTTTCACTGAAAGAAAGAAAGATAGAAAGCAAGAAAAGCAAGAAAGAAAAAAGGGAGGAAAACACTCTCATGCGTTTAAACGTCTGTTTCAGTGAACTGGAAAAAACTTTTTCATTTGTATCCCCTTACTTCTTTAAATACTGAACTGCGTTGTTATGTCATTATGTTGTTAAAGCCGTTAAGCTCAAATATTCAAGGACTTACGTTGAAACGCTGGTTCTCGTATGAACACCGAACTTAAGCAAAGTTGAGCCTGGTCAGTACCTAAATGGGTGACCGTTTGGGAATACCAGGTGCCGTAAACTTTGATGTGCAGGTGGTGTCATGGATAATGGCTCAGAATTGGTAATCAGAAAACTGAGTTCAAATTCCGGTGAGTTTCCTTATATTCACAGACCCGTGAATACTCTTGGCAAAGGTATGAATCCACCTCTTTCCCCCAGCTATAGGTTAATTAGTAGGACGTGTGTTAGTAAATCTGTATTATCTCACAAAATTCTTACAATCTAAAAATATTTTCTTGTTTTTAAATAACCCGCAAAAGGTCGATAAGCCGTAAAAATATTAAATATTTAACGATGCAATAGGTGAATTTCTAGGGGTACTTTTTTAGTCGTGGAATTCGTAAGGAACTTATCCAATTATTAACTTAAGATTCATCAGAAAATTAAAATAGGAAAAGATATCACCCAAAAATGTACCAGGGATGAAAGCTCCAGTGACAGAACCCAAAGAGTGTGAGTTCAATACCTGGTTAAGGCGGTGGAGAACTTGGAGAGGGGAATTAACAGGAGATAACTAGTGACTGACATCCGTTAGACATGGAACTAGAAAAGTCTACCCCAGCGAGCGAAATAAAGGGTTCAGCTCGACATTTCAACCACCTGAAGAAGGCCGGAGCGTACAACGGCCGAAACGTTGTGATAAATATAGCAGAAAAGTCCGAACAATGTAAATAGTGTACATTATATTCAGTTATATATTCGCCATTATTGGCAACGACTTGTTGCCACTTATCAGGAAAAACTTCGATAAATTTTGAGTTTTGGGGAAAAAAAAACTATGACAAAGAGGGAAAAATTTTCGCGTGGCGTGTGTCGTCCTTTATCAGTCTAAAGTGATGTTTACGTTGTTGGGACTTGTTATGGAGTGGTTTCACAGTGGAGGCTTGTATTTGTACTCAGTCAGTCCTAAAATAGGTTCGACGTACAAAACGTTAGGAACTTGATATAATAGGTAATGACGCAGAGTAATCTAGTTGTGGTGGCTGATACTTTAGTATCCGACTAACGGTCGTCCGGCATCGACTGACTGACCGACGATATCTAGTCACCCCCCCCCACCACCACCATGAGGGCATCATGTGGCACAAAGCCGGTTTCACGTGGGATCTCCGAGCCCGTGGGCTCGGCCAAAAATATGCCCATTGAACCCGTATAAAGCGAAGCCGCCCTTCGGCGTAGCCTCCTTCGGGTTCCTCCCCGCTCGAAGGCAGAGAGTTCAACCGATCAGCCAGTCGACTGACAGACCGACGATATTCAGTCACCCCCACCCCCACCTCGGGGGCGTTATGTGGCACAAGGCCTTTTTAACGTGGGATCTCCGAGCCCGTGGGCTAGGCCAAAAAAAATATGCCCATTGAACCCGTATAAACGGGTTCAGGATCGGTTTACCTCCCGAAAGAGAATCCACCCTTCGGCGTAGCCTCCTTCAGGTTTCTCCCCCGCCCGAAGGCAGAGAGTTTAACTGAACAGCCAGTCGACTGACTGACCGACCTCTGAGCGACTCTCGTTACTCTTACTTATTATAGGTGGGAGAGTCTATTAATATAGATATATATATTAATAGATGTGTTCCACTATAACAGGACTACACATGCGCGTGAAGGAGAGGGGACAACGAGAATTTTAAAATTTAAATTTAACATATATTTTTGGTGTATACTCTAGCCGATTTCATTTAGCCCTTTTTCTTTTTGTTCATATTTCCATCATTTTCGTTAATAAATATGTCACTGTGATAATGGAACTGCCTAGAAAGTTGAAAGGCAGTAAATTTATTGTCGTTGATCTAACGATTAAAGCAATTAATTTCTATTTTAATTACAGTAGTATTTTTAAATTGAAATTAAGGTTAGACTCATTATGGTAAGCAACTAATGGAATAATCTACAGTTGAAAAAATTATCTAAGTTTAACGTAAAATTTGTCATAACTATTTCTAAAACATTGACTTAAATGTCCCCATCAGATCAAGACTATCATATGGATGTCATGGATGGGGCTAGACTTGTTCAGAAATATCTAACCTGTCAGCTGTATACTGCCACATTCGCAGATCAATGGTTAAAAATGGCTTTGAACAAATAAAGCATGTAGTGAGGACAAGCCTTCTTCAGACTTAATGGTCTGGTGTTCCGTAATCACAAAGAAGTGTACCAAATAACAGAAGCTACATCACTTGAGGATTTTCAACAGCATCAACAGCTTAAAATGGATATCATCACATGTAACGAAAAAAGAAAATAATAACATAATCAAGATTTTAGCAACCCCCATCAATACCGGAAAACGTGATAACATTTATTGGACTTGAGAAATCTATTTTCCAGAAAAAATATTTTTAAAAAGAATACTTTTACAAATTTAACACTTGCTGCTGAGTCAATGAATAGCGAATGTTTCCTAGTAAGGAAACAGCAACTATTGTCGTTACAATTAAAGATGAGGAGAACAGATAACCCACACTGATCCCATCCTGACGGCCAGAGTGTGAAGAAAAGTCTAACACGAGTAGCACTGACTGCTCGGTCAATAAATGCCATATGCTTTCTTAGGAGAAAATAGCTATTATCACCAGAGATTAGGAGAACAGATACTGCACTTTGAATTTACTTGCAGCCCTACGCTGGCAGGATGTGTCAGGTCAGTTTAATGTGGGGATCCCGAGTGCTTGCATCCGAGCAAGGTCCAGAAATGGCCCGTCGGTTGCGTTGGCATCGGTATGACTACCGATCCCACCTCTCTTTAATAAAATACAGGAGGTACTTCCGCGGGGAGCTGTTCCTAGAGACCGGGTAGTTACCAGTAATATTTTAACGTGTGCTTTGTCCGCAGACAATGGCACAAGTGAGTGATGAAATGTAGGTTGTACGATCGAAGGCAGATATTACACTTTGATCCCATGGCCAGGGAGTGAAGAAAATTGTAACTTTCGAGTAATACTGGCAGTTCGGTCAATGAATGCTGATTGTTTCCTTATAAGGAAACGGCTAATATTACCATTAGAAATGAGAAAAACATATACTAAACTTTGATCCCAGCCCGATAGCCACGGAGTAAAGAAAACGGTAACTTGCGAGTAGTACTGGCTGCTTAACTAATGAAGGCTGAATGTTTACTTATAAGGAAACGGCTAATATTACCATTACCATTAGTGATGAGAAAAACAGATACTACACTAAGATCACAACCCGGTAGCCAGGGAGTGAGGAAAAGCGTACACTTCGAGTAGTACTGTTTGCTTGCGTTAATGAATGCTGAATGTTTACTTATAAGGAAAGGGCTAATATTACCATTAGCATAAGTGATGAGAAAAACAGATACTACACTTTGATCACAGCCCGATAGCCAGGAAGTGAAGAAAAGCGTAACTTTCGAGTAGTACTGGCTGCTTGGCTAATAAAGGCTGAATGTTTACTTATAAGGAAACGGCTAATATTACCATTGCAATTAGAGATGAGGAGAACAGATATTACACTTTGATCATAGCCCGATAGCCGGGGAGTGAGGAAAAGCTTAACTTTCGAGTAGTACCGGCTGCTTGGTTAATGAATCCTGAATGTTTACTTATAAGGAAACGGCTAACATTACTATTACCAATCTATTCATCTAGACATCAGATCTATATACCTTTCATTTTTACTATGATTTCATCCCTAAATTTCATTCATATTATTATTGTTGTATTTTTTAACAAAACTACATATGAAAGTGTTGGTCATTCCATTTTATTATTTCAGTATTCGTTTTACACAATATTTTTGTTTATTGTCGATCAATACACTATTGTTATTATTTTTTCATTACTAATCTTACTAGTGCTACTTTCTATTGCATCACTTTATGACTATTATTTTCTTATTAATATTTTTACTTATTCACTGTATTATTAGTATTCTTTTAATCCGATCAAATTTGGCGGGAAACGTTTACTGTTTCTCCATCAATTATTGCAGGGTCACTTCTAGCTGAACATTCGTTTGATTCAATCAAAATTATACACGTATGCAAGAGAGGGTGAGAGAGAGAGAGAGAGAGGTGTAGACAGCGAGAGAAAGAGAGATAGAGAAACAGAAACAGAGAGAGATAGACTGAAAGAGAGAGAGAGGGGCAGAAAAGAGATAGAAAGAGACTGAAAGAGAGTGATTGGGCGAGAGAGAAAGGGCGAGAAGAAAAAGCGAAAGAGAGTGAAAGAGAAAGAGAGAGAGGGGGAGGATAGAGAGAGAGACAGAGAGAGTGGAAAGTGAAAAAGAGAAAGAGATGGCGGCAGACAGAGAGAGAACGTGGGAGAGAGAGAAAGGGGGAAGAGACAGAGAGATAAAGAAAAGCAAAGTGACAGAAGCAGACAGAGATAGAAAGAAAGAGAGAGTGAAAGAGAGAGAGAGAGATAAAGAGAAAAAGACAGAGACATAGAGAGAGAGGGAGAGAGAGATGTAGACAGCGAGAGAAAGAAACATAGAGAAACAGAAACAGAGAGAGATAGACTGAAAGAGAGAGGGGGAGAGAGAGAGGGGCAAAAGAGAGATAGAAAGAGACTGAAAGAGAGTGATTGGGAGAGAGAGAAAAGGCGAGAAGAAAAAGCGAAAGAGAGTGAAAGAGAGAGAGAGAGGGGGGATAGAGAGAGACAGAGAGAGAGGAAAGTGAAAAAGAGAAAGAGATGACGGCAGACAGAGAGAGAACGTGGGAGAGAGAGAAAGAGGGAAGAGACAGAGAGATAAAGAAAAGCAAAGTGACAGAAACAGAGGGAGAAAGAAAGAGAGAGAGAGAAAGAGAAAGAAACAGAGACATAGAGGGAGAGGGAGAGAGAGAGGTGTAGACAGCGAGAGAAAGAAACATAGAGAAACAGAAACAGAGAGAGATAGACTGAAAGAGAGAGAGGTTGACAGGAAGAGAGATAGAAAGAGACTGAAAAAGAGTGATTGGGCGAGAGAGAGAAAGGGCGAGAAGAAAAAGCGAAAGAGAGTGAAAGAGAAAGAGAGAGAGGGGGAGGATAGAGAGAGAGAGAAACAGAGAGAGTGGAA